CCCCAAAACCCCAAAACCCCATCAAGCAGTAATTAGAAGATTGCAGAGCTAGTTTATTAATCAAATATAAGAAATAGTTAATTCAATCAATTCATAAGGACTTTAAAATATAACATATTATAAGAAAGGAAAAATAACATTTCTTAAGTTTATTATATAATATATTTTTACAATATTACTAAAATGAGTAATTTATCACCTCCAAAGAGAAGAGCTAGCGTTAGAATGGTGATGACCAGAAAATAGTCATTTGCAAATAGGTCACTTTCTAATTCAAGATTAGTAAACTACAAACCAACAGATGATTCAGTGATATCACTTAAAGGATTTTTTACTAAGATAGGCAATATAACAAGGGTAATATTAAATTTTTTTCTAGATGAATTTCTTTAAAGCATTGTAGAATATTGCATTAATTCATAAATTTAGGAAATATCTTAAAACTTAGTTAGGCATGAGTAATATATTAATAGAAATCATTTATTACATGATACCTAAGTCAGGACTACAAATAAGCGATTTCATGACTAATTAGAGAAAACAGGAGAAGAAGAGGAGTATTTCGACTATAAACTGTTTCAAACTCTGGTGAATAAGTTAGATTAAAATAAAGAGATCATGCAAAATAACTATAACCTACTTGCATTAATGAGTCCAAGGTAGGCTGCTAAAAAACCAACAACATTCACAAATGGAAAAGAAGATGCAAGTGATCTAAGGCAAAGTTAAGATTCAATGACTTAGATTAAGTAGCAATCGATAAATGATACTTTGAAAGACTTGTAAAAATTGTAACACAAGCAGGGAACAATTATATCTAGAATTGATGTCATTGATAAACTCTAAGTTAGAATGATCAAACAATAATCTAAAAAACAATTTGTTGATGCTTCTACTTAAACATATGGAAATAATATTGAGGAAGATATCCTAAGAAAAATAGAGTAAAAATATTAAAAAGAACTTAGTTAAATGGAACTTATTTTGATGGGAGAAAGAAAATTCAGAGAAAAAGAATTCGCTGGTAATTTTGAAAGGTAAATGGAGGCTTTAAAATTTTAGGTCACTATTGAAGCCAATGTGAAAGTAGACCCATTAAAATCAGACAAATTATCTGAAAATTTTAAGGAAAAAACTCTAAAATTTCTATAAGGGAATAAAAATCTTGTAAGGAAAGTATATAAGATTTAGGGAAATTTAGGATTTATAAATAGTTAGCTCAATCATTTGTTCATTGATAAGGATAGGTTACTGAATAATGACATAAAATAAATAGAGGGTATATTGTAAGAGAAGCCTAACATTAATTAAAAAAGTCAATATGCACTAATGAAATCTACTGGACCTTCTCCATTAATTAGCATAAATAGAGGAATATCTCCTAATCAAACAATAGATATTCACAATAATTCTAGTAAAGAACTTTACAGCAAGCTACCGCCATTAAATCCTAAGGTTCTTTTATAAAAAAAGATCAATAATCCAAATAGCACTATAAACATAGATTACAAGACTAATTTATTCGATAATTTCAACAATAGGAGTTCAAGCTAAAATGCAATAGCAAGAATTAATCAGTAGTCTCCAATCTAAATGGTTACAGATTTGACTAGGGGATAGCCGATAGTAAGTTATCAAAAAAAAAGGTATCCTAAATAGGGTAAAATGATAGACTTTAAAAATCAATCTTAGCATAAAAGGGAAATAAGTCTAACTAATATGATCTCAGAGAGTAAGTTATCTATTCAAATAGCATCTAAAGTATTGAACTACTCACCAGAAAATTAGAGTCAAAATCATTCACCTCGAGCAGTTGGAACAAGATCTAACAATTAGAAGTAAAAGCAAATAAATGTCTTACAAATGAGTGATACGTTACTTAATGATAAAGGAATAAAACTAAAAATTGATGTAGTGAGGGTAAATGAAAACTTATTCTCAATAAACATGGATAAGCATCTTACAAGACAGCTTAATATAGACTAAGTCCAATATTATACGAAATTCAGACGCATGATGATACAATTTGAAGAGTTCCAATCAGCAAGTTTTAATCTAGATGATATTTTCTTGAATGAAATAGAATTTTTAAAGACAAAAGCTTAAGAGCAACTAAAATTCAGAGAAGTATTTGAAATTCTCAAACTACTCTCTAAAAATATAGACTCCCTCTTCGAAATTTATGTATCTTTCAATCTCCTTTAAATGACTAAAATTACTGAGGTTAATAAAATGAGACTCTACAACTTCATAAAAATATTCTAAAGCATCCTTGGATTTACAGAGACACCTAAATTTGGAAAAGATCATCTAACTGTTGAATTCTACAACTCAGCAAGACTTTATGCTAAAGATATGCCTGGTAACATTTCCTTATCTTAACCTACTAGAGTTTATATAGAAGGAGTCTATGGACGAGAAAATCAAATATGTTAAGAATATACTCCAATTTAAGAGTGTTTCAGATAAATATTACCTTAATTTTCCTAGTTTCTTAGAGTCAATAGTTAGAGTAATTCACTGTAAATATAGAACCGTTCTAAATGATCAAGAATATTTGTCGGTACTGCTTTCTAGATTTTTTAAATCTTATGCATATGTTAATGCAAAATAGAAAATTTCACTATGCTATAGGATAAAAGATGAACTATCAAGCAAGGATTATTAGGATGTGCTTGATAATTACCGAGTCAAAACTAAGTAGCTTTTCAATAAATTGATTTCAGAGCAACTTGATAAGAACTCTCAAACTCTTTCATTCATTAGTAACTATATATCTCTAATAATTATAGAAATTCTGAGATTCTTTACTTCAGCTAGAGTTTTTAAAGACAAAGTAAATATTCTTAAGCCAGGAATGACATTGAAATAACTTGAAAATACCTAAGTAGGAAAGAAAAATAGTGTATAAGGTTCAGGGGAAAAGAACATCAATTTTTCAGATACACATTATAATTATAGGAATCATGGCATAACTCCACCAAGAACTAGAATATCATTTGAAATGGACAAAGTATCTGGTTCTTCAGTTAGAATGGGCTCTAGTCCAGTCCGAAGTGATGTTCCTACAAGTACAAATAAATAATAAAAATACACAAAATTTTAATTTACGAAAGAATCGTAAGGTACTTCCAAGAATCTACTGAAGTCAGCTTAATAAAATGCCTAACACTTCAAAAGCCATGATTATGGAGATGAATAAAATGAAGATGCATTTCCATAACCATCCTTTCAAAGTATGACTAAAGTTTTCAGATGGGTAAATAGAGTGAAAAAGAGAATAGAAGATAGACATAATTTGATTGTTGATAATGTTAGAGTGTAAGAGCATAAATTTGAGTTTAAAGAAATGTGCGAGATTATTTTAACGTCCTTGGATAATAAGGCTCTATTTTTAAAAGATGGAAGGCTGGAAACAATTGAGGAGGATGATTTGACTATGAGTTTTGACGAGTTTTGCAATTCACTACTTATTATTGGCCATTTGTATCATAAAAAGCTGGCTCTTTATCAAGAATTTACTTTAAAAGAATCAATTGATGATTTTTTCCATCATCTTCTTAACAGATTCGGAATAGATTCAAATCCATTATATAGAAAGAGACTTGAGAAACTAATGAAGCTTAATTTTATTGGCAATTATTCTGAGAGTGTAAAGACTTCAATTGGAAGTAAAGATGATATTCCTGGCTCAATTAAAGAGAAAAAGATTGGGGAAACAGGTGTTGAAGAAAAGGAAACTTTTGGCTAGATTTTGAAGAGACTTAAGGCTGAAAAACTAAAGCAACATCAAGATTAAACAAAAGAATGAATATAGCCATTCGAGATGAAACTCAACTCGCTCGTTAATCAAAGATTAAAATTTCTATTAAAAAATACTTGAGATATGAAAATTATTAGACTAACTAAAAATAATCTTAATTTCATAAATGATAGTAATAAAAATTGGCTAAATATATGATTAAATTGAATGAATTAACTAACTGATAAGTAAAATTAATTTTAATTTATAATTTCATTTGAACCGACAACACTATGTTAAAACCTGGAAACTCTAAGTACGGTGATAGAAGAGACTGTATTTGATTTGATATTTAATATTTTAACAGCAACAAGAACTAGAGAAAAGGAATCAACTAAAATGTCATCAGTCAACCATAAATCATTTAGAATGGGTGAAAATGACCATCTAAATAGATTCGAAAGAAGCATGCTACAAAAAGATAGACTCCCTGAAAAAACCTACGACTCTGGAGCAGACTGGTCGCTAAGGTATCATAATAAGGCAGTAGCTTTATCTGGTTCAAGTAATTTCCAAAATTTTACAAAATAACTTTAGGAGTAACACCTTCGCACTAACCCTATGACGAAGTAGCTGAAAGTCATAAATAAAAGGAGATTTTGAAGTCAAGTAGCTCATGTTAATCAGCAAATCAACAGTTTGTAAATGGAGCTTTTAATCAATAATACTATTCTCCATCTTTGAGAAGCAATAAACTTTTTTACCAAAATTATGAGGGTGGTTATGAACACAAAAATCAAACTGTTGCTGTAAGTTAAAAAAAAAATGACATTTCAATTAAATTATAAATAGTTTAAAACAAATGTTTAATCAGTTGAGAGATCCAAATTTAGTGGCCCAGAATTGAGACTTTGTAACAGTGCGATCCCTACTCAAGCTAATAATGGAAATATTAAAAACTACTCACAAGTGCAATTAGGAACAAACAACAATATTCAATAACTATACGAGGGAGGCGTTAATTAGTCATTCGAAAACAGATCATCCAGCAATATTTCTTCAAAATAAAGTGATTCTAGTTCTGTTAAAAGAGGCTATACCCAAGTTTAAGGGTATTAACAGCACGAAACTAGGTATCCTTTATCATCTAGGGCTAGTCAAATATCAGAGCAAGAGAATACACTTTATCAAAAGATAACATCAGAAAATTAAGATTTGGATCCAATTTATAACAGTTTCCAGGGAAATAAAAAGCATTCTTTGCAAAATAGGCAATTCAGAGGAGTTAACTAATAAAATCAGTAGCCATATTCTAAATAAAAAGCTCAAGACCAGGCTAAAATAGAATAAGGCCTAAAAAATGTCTCAAAAGCCTTTGTTAATCAAGCTCCTCCAAATAGAATAATTAATCTCGGATTAGACTAAGATGCCATTGACGAAGTATATGAAAACCTTTAAAAAAGAAAAAATGAAAGGTCAAATGATAAATATCTGCTGCAGCACGGAGAAAAAGAGAATAATTTTATTGAGTAGTTTACTGGTGATTAGTTCTAGATTTTGCATAATCAAAGACAAAAAATAAGAGAAACAGTCTAAAAACAAGTAGTGGATAAAACTTTCTAAGTCTTATAAGGCTAAAAGCAAGATAAGGGTATACTATAAGAGTAAGAATTTAAAATTTTAATGCTTTAGTGACATTAACAAGGGTTAATTCGAGGGTTAGATTGGAGTTAGCAATGAAGAAAGACAGTAAATCAGAAGAATTAAACTTGATGATTTGAAAAACACTCTTGAGAAGTAAATAAAGCTTAAAGTAGTAAAATAAGAAGCTGAGTTGGTTTAAGATTTGGATAAGCAAAAGGAAATAGTGTTTCAAGATTAGGTTAACCACTAAAACATTTAACTCTTGCAGTTAGAAAAAAGATAGATGCAAAAATAAGAGTTGAAGTCTCATTATGACAAGGCCATAAACAGTAAGAACTCAGAAAACTACAAAAGAGAGATGGCTGACTATTTGAAGCAATAGATATAGGATAGAAGACACAAGAGATAGAATTCAAATAGCAATTCTTAACAGAGATAAAATACATACAACAACTAATTAAACAGAGAGATGAGCCCAGGAAAATCTACACGTACTTTGAGTGAGTTTGAATCTCCTTCCAAAAATAACTTTAAGACTTCAAAGCAAAGACTAAGATGAGTTGCAAGTTATATTGAATTGTAATACACAATGTGAAGTAAATTATTTAGCAAGATTTTTACATCTATTATAATTTAAAAAAGCATACGCACATATTTTTAAAAAAATTACCAATTGGGGTTTTGGGGTTTTGGGGGTTTTGGGG